GGGTCTATGTCCCCCAGGGTACTGCCGGACCGTACCTCGCCTACTCCACTAACGAGTCTAGGGAGTCGCCTACGCCTACTCCCTAACCCTAACCCTAACCATATCAAATAGTGACCATGGTACGTTCCGGCAGTACCCTGAGGGACATAGACCCTATGAGCAATAGTATCACGTCTCTGAGTGTAGTTTACTTACAAATGCGGGTGCACGCGTCTATAGAAATGATAAGGGTAACTGGCAGTACGTCCATTCCACTTGTGACTGACGCTTGCATCCTGATCTGAACTATCAGATCTTCGTTCATTTCCATACATTGCACTCGAGATTATAGTCACACCTCACAACCGTTCACTGTAAACGTTCACGACCATTTCTGATGAATGACTGACTACCGCTATCCTCGTTGCTGACAACAGATATCTCCACGCACTGACGTCACAGCAACGCAAAACTATCCCAATGTACCTTGCAACAATGGTGTTTAGAACATTCCTGGGCGCTCTTCCTAGCAACCGTATCTAGATACATATTACGTGCATAAACAATGTGCAGGGAACAGAGAGCAGCTGACACGTGACCACTATTAAATCACTACCGGTTCATTACCCTGTTAGTTAGAGGATGTGACGCTCATCTCGGCCGACCAATCGCGAGTGCTCGCAGCTTGTGCACTAAAGCTGACGCGACGTTTGTGGCCTGCATTATTTTAGGCTGGCTATCGTGTGTGGCAATGACATACACATTGAAATGGTGGATGGTTACTGGTAATTTAAAACGAATTCTTTCAATGTATGGTCCCCATTGGACTGCGCGACTGTTTTTCAGGCACAAATATGGTGTCGATTAGTAAATTCGCGATATTTTTTAAAAACGCCGGACAACATTTGTCATAATTCTAATGGTGCACAGCTGAAATACATGGCTACCTAGCTTTAATATTGCCATTCGGCCGAAAACGACCGAAATACTATTTTTCAGCTCCTGAAATTCAATTCTTAAGTATAGGATCCTATGGAATTTAATAGTGGTCTGTTCTCTGTCACGCTGAAAAAATGTTACTGGAAATTTTCACATTTTTTAATATTAATGACCTGCGAGTGCCGGGCAGTTAATTTTCACTCGGCTTCTCGTGCCTACTGCAGTGCAGAATGTCGTAGAGTGTCATTTATTGTGTAGATTGCGCTAAAGTTGGACTCGGAGAAGTTAATGTGGTAAGTATGAGAACAAAATCTGGCCGACATTTTTTAGTGAAGGAACAGCACATTAGCAAATTAGAAATTTTGATTGCAAATAACGATTCATTCTAGTTCGTAATACTAACGTCAATTACTATACTTAAGCCTAGCTCTCGGTCCCATTTTCAGTCATGGCAATACTAGGCTTAACCCTATCCCTAACCCTTGTTACCCCCCCACCCCCGTTCCACCCCCCACACACACACACACAGACAGACAGTGGAAGAACCCTGCTTTCGTTAAATCTCGTCGTCGCGACTAATAGTCGGCGAATAGTCTTGCTATTGCTAAATTCTACTGCTAAGACGTTGTACTTGTATTATTGTATCAGGTTTTATTTCGAATTCTGTCATTGAATGTCAATCCTCTGATTTTTTTAGGAAGCTGAGGTTGCATGATCGTATGATTTCCAGTCGTTGCATCTACCAGTCCACCCGAGGAGGCCTATAGAAATCGATATATCGGCACGCAGCGTAATTACCTGCATAAAGAGACACTGCGAATTCAAGAACGATACTTGGGTAACAATTCTCATACAACATTCGTGTCTGCCACGAATTAATTAGCATTGTTTATTGCGTGAAAAGTGGCGTTCGTGGCTACCAGCTGAACACTCTGTGGCCCCAGTATTGTCCATCTGCCTGTCTGTTGCACCCATTCAAGCATCAGCTAGAAGAATTTCGCATGAGTTACAGCCTTGACATACAAACTTGTGCCAGATCTTTTATTTTTATTGAACAAGTCTTAGTATAAAACGGCCATGGTGTCGATCGCTTCGCCAATAGTGTCTATCCACAGCAAAGTGGAACAATGAAAGCGATGATTTTTGTTGGGTGAACCAACTTGGATTCGCCTAATCTCCAAAACTGATTGTCGCCTTTGCACAAATTCTATTCCAAATGAAGCGTAAATGCCTATTCTTGAGATATGATCAAAAATGCCTCCAACCATCAATGTTGGAGCGCGTAAATAGAACGTCTACCAATAGCACTATGATGTGATAGCGCCACCTGGTGTTCAATTCCCACAGCCGCTTGAATTGCTATAAAAAAATAACCGATTGCTTCCGAGTGCTAATTTTTGGCATAGCAGACAACAAGACACGTCGCGTTCGTTTAGCATCAAATTTGACAAAAGCCTTTTATTTTCAGAAAAATATTCAATCCAATGCAAAATTTGACCCGTTTTTTATGTCCGATCATGTGGCATTCTAAATTACCGAAAAATCAAATTCGACGTGCGATTTTTTTAAATTTTTGTTATTGATCTCATAGAATATCAAGTTTCGCATAGGTGAATGCAATTTTATTCAATATAAATCATTCTATTCAACTCTAGCGACTACTCGAACTATGCCACCGACTTGGCATTCCGCAAGCAGACGGGCCACAGAATCGCCTTGAAGCGTGAGGTGGGGGTCGAAGAAATCGCCAAAACTTCAAAAAACCGAACAGCAAATTAAACAAAATTTTGCACCGTGTGCAGCGTGTTTTGTCGAACGAATTTTATTGAATTTGACAGATTCCCAGAAAAAAACGTTTCTATACAGACAGCTGACCACTATAAATCACTACCGTTCATTACCCTGTTAGGTTAGAGGCAGTGACGCCTCATCGGCCGACATCGGAGTGCTCGCAGTTGTGCACTAAAGCTGACGCGACGTTTTGTGGCGCCATTAATTAGGCTGGTATCGTGTTCGTGGGCAATGACATACACATTGAAAGGGTGGATG